TTGGGTGTTGGAAAAGTTGAGAAACTACATCGGCCCAAATGTACAGCCATCGGCCATCGTAAGTGATTGTGAGGGAGGTCTTTTTGCCCCTATAGCGGAGCTGTTTCCGGAGTCGAGCCATTTACTGTGCACATGGCACATCAACAACTGCGTGAAAGTCAAAGCCTACAACCTTTTCAACAAGAACTTAGATTCAGCAGAGAGATTGGTAAATGGTAAGTGGCGGAAGATCCTGCAAGCTACCACGGAGGCAGAGTACGATCGAGCCTTGGAAAACTTAAAGGATGCGTACAAGTGGTGCCCGCCAATCGTAGACTATGTGATGCATCAGTGGGTACCTCAGAGGGAAAAGTTTGTCAAATATTGGACGAACCAAGTTCTTCATTTTGGGAACACTACGACATGGAGAGTCGAGAGCGCTCATAGAGCTTTGAAGGACTGGATTGATTCTTCCACGGCTGCTCTGGATACACTGTTCGAGAGAATAAACAAGGCTATTGATACTCAGAGGAACGGCATCAAGAACTATCTCGAGGACTCCAGACGACGACATGGCATGTTGTATGGCCATTTCATATTTAAGATTCTCCACGGTCGTGTGTCACACCACTGTTTGGGGTTGATTCTGAGCGAGTATACCAGGATGAGGGAGTTGGGCGATGAAGTGGCTATTCGGTGCGGATGTGCTATATCAATGACTCATGGATTACCTTGTGCATGCACCATTCACCGCGTAATTACGCAAGACAGGGCGTCGTTACATGTCGATCAGGTTCATCCATTCTGGCGGACGCTCGTTATCGGAGAGCATGCTGTTCCGCATACGGTTCACCGTGAACAGGAGGAGTTGGAGCAGTTTCAGATGATGTTTGACCAAGTGTCCTCCAGTCACCCTTCGATCATTCGTAGTGCTACACACATACTTCATGACATGTTCAATACATCGTGTTTGGATACCGAGGAACCGGAAGGGGTCGAGCGACCTAGGGGTCGACAACCACGGCGGAACAAGAGTGCGTTTGAGTACATTCGCGGTCGTGGCCGTGGCCGTGGCCGTGGTCGTACATCCTCATCAAGTGGCAGCCAATCATCGTCGTCGGTGAATATGCCCGGCACCGGTAAGACATTCGACTTCAATTTCTTTTGTTGACTGTTTGATTAGTTTACTGTTGACTTGTTTATTGTGTTTATTGATGTGTGTAACAGGGAGAATGGACATTGAACATTTTCCATATAAGGACAGGATCCCTAATATCATGATGCCATTCTTGGACGGGTGGAATGATGTCATTGCAGATGGTAACTGCGGATTTCGGGTTGTGGCGGATGTGTTTCAAATGGGTGAAGACAACTACGGTTTAGTGCGGCAGTTGATGTACAGTGAAATCGCATCAAACCGAGATGTGTATGGCCATGTGTACGGCGAGGACTTGGATAGGTCTCTGCAGCGTATCCGGTGGGGAGGGGGACCTTGCGGTCAAAATCATTGGTTCGATGCGCCACTTGATCTCTTTGCCGTTGCAAACATCTACAAGTGTGCAGTCATGCATTTCGGCCTTGGTTTACATAGTCGAGCCTATTATCCATGTACAACGGTTCTGCCCTGGTGTTCGCGCGAGACCGTCACCAGACCGGTAAGGGACGTTGCTATTGGATTTCTTGGGCCGTCATACAGACATTTTATCCGATTAGACATGTCACCCGATTTTCCGGTCCCAAATATCATACCGAAGTGGTATGAAATTCGTAGAGCAAGCGTGGAGGGTTGGGATGCTTTGTACCATGCTCGCGTGCAACAGTGGAACAATTTAATTGCCATGTAGTTTTTGTTGATGTACACCTACCTTTTACTATGAGGCCTTGTATTGTCAATACTATGTCATTTCTATGTGTTCATTTTTAAAAGATAATGTTTCATTTTAAAAACTAACAACAATAATTTCAAATATTACAAACTAAAAAGATAATATTGAATTTTAAAAACTAAGAACAATAATTTCAAATATTACAAACTAAAAAGATAATGTCTAATTTCAAATATCGGGCTCACACGCGTCAACTATGTCGCGTGGCCTGAGCTTGTTCCCGCTCTTATCCGGAAACAAGGTACACCCGAGAAGAAGAAAAACATATGCAGCCAGCTGTGTGTCCTGCGTCCTACGTGCCGTAGGGTGCAAACATCGCTGCAAGACGGCTGCGATCTTAACGCCGCCGTGATCCCACACACCAAGTGCCGATGTGTACAGCGCAACCCTATCCACCGCCAACAGCTCCGCTAGTAAATCTGCCTGATCCGCATCAGTGACGACAGATGCTCGGTTTCCCTCCACGGGAATCCCAAGGATGGCCTCGACGTCATGCAACATGATCGTCATCTCACCGAACGGAAGGTGGAACGAGTTCGTATCCGGCTGCCATCGCTCAACGAAAGCCGTGATCAGCGTCCAGTCAATCCTGTCGTGCATGGTGGCAGGAAGGTGACTCACTCTAGTGGCCCTCAATCGCCTGACCATCTCGCTCTCCTCCGGCCAAGCATCAGCCCAGCTACACAAAAACCTACAAGTCTTTTCCCGGGTTTGGCATTTCAAAATGCCTGTATCCAAAGCCCTCTCCTGGTCCTCCCAAATACGGGTAGCGATGTGTCCTAAAAAGCTAGGAATCACACTCCCGTCTATAGGTCCCCCGGCCACCTCACCCCTCACCATCCAAGAATCATTAACGGCCCTCGACCGTTTTCTGCTACCCGCAGACACAGTGGACGCAGATGATGTGCCAGATCTACTAACAAACCTACCATCTCGACCCTTACGCACATCTACCCTATGCGTCTCATACGTATCATCAAGTCTCTGACTGAATGGACCGTAATCATCATATGGTCCACTCTGATCGTCGACATCCTCATCTGCATCATCCTCGTCCTCGACCTCCTCCTCCTCGACCTCCTCCTCCTCCTCCTCATCATCATCATCATCATCTTGATCGTCCGCAGAACAGTGCACCCGTTCTCTGCGGGCCGAGGCCGAAATACCACGGGATCTAACGTGTCTGGGCCCCGAGCTCTCCATTGAGTAGATCGTACTCCTCACGACGTCAATACTCTTCCCCGCACCAGGTCTAAATTGCGATGCCTAACTCCAAGTAAATAACGAAACATAATAACGAAAACAAATTAAAAAAAGTCGAAAATAAACACAAAAGCAAATAAACAAGTCACGGAAATAAAATTATAAACATAAAAAATATAAAATTAAAACAAATAAAAAAACAAAATTTAAAAAAAAAAAGATAAAAAAAAAAGGGAACATACAATTTAAAAAAAAGAAAAACAAATTTTTAAAAAAAAAAAAAAAAAAATCGAAAATAAAATTTAAAATTAAAAAAAAAACAAAAAAAAAATTTAAAAAAAAAAAAAAGAACGAGGCGCCTAGGCAAGGCGCCCGTACGGTGGTGTCGGCGCCTAGCCCAGACGCCACTACCACGGCCGTGGCGCCTAGCCTCTGCGCCGCTGCCGTGGTAGTGGCGTCTGGGCTAGGCGCCGCCACCACCGTACGGGCGCCTTGCCTAGGCGCCTCCTCCGTGGTGGTGGCGTCTCGCCTTGGCGCCCCACCGTCGCCGGAGGTTTTTTTTTTAAAAAAAAATTACAAAAATTAAAAAAATTACCTTCTGGCCGGCAAACCGCCTTCCGCCCACCGCCGGTGCCGCCACTTCCTTGCCGGGCCGCCTCGACATAGCTCTGGAAATAATTTAGAGAGAGAAAGTGGAAGTAGAGAGTAGAGAGAGAAATTGTGTGTTTTTTAGTATGAGGGCAAAAGTGTCATTTCACTCTTATTTTGTGGGCTTTATGTAGGAATTTGCGGGCGATGTTTAACAGTTCACTAATTTTACCCGTACGTAAAAGTCTAGTGTGGGTCTTTGTTAAAAAAAAAAAAAAAAAAGAGTCTAGTGTGGGTTATGAGCATTTATCTCAATTCTCAAGCTCTCAACCACACACCAAAAACATAATGCTTCACCATGACGTCACGCGGTGGGACACCATGTGTGTACGATATTAGCCTACCCAACCAAGTGACCAACATATGCACTAATGCACTTGCATATTTTCAGCTGTTTGTTGATTTATTTATTTAATTTGTCTCTTTCATTAAATATAAATGCGCTGAATTTTCAACGCTTTATTTACTCCTCTACAAACAATTAAAATGATGTTTTGCTTTATTAGTTTTTGCCTTTCTGGCCACATTTTTCATCTTTTACCATCTGATGACTACATATCATGTAAACTCTTTTTTTCATTTGACTAGTCGTTGGAGCACGCGCGATCGTGCTCCCTCGACGGCAAGATAAGTATGACGCGTGAAATGGTTTTTTTTGTGATTTTCGTGATTTTGTTTAGGTGGCGTAGTTATAGAGGGAATGCAATAATATATGTTGGCATTGTTTAGAATTCAAATGGCAGAAGTAAGATGTTTAAAAGAGGAAAAATAGTGATTATATAATCATGTGCTTTGTACTTTAGTTTCCAAAGACTGCTAATTGACTTGGCAAATGTCTATTAGCTAAAACATTGATTGTCAAGTAGATATGTGGCCTAATTATATACAGAGTTACATAGAATTATATGCTGTATGTTTGGAACCGCCTTTGTTTTTGAAACATTTTGTGGTAGAATATCTATTTTGGTATGGTTGTTTGGTGCTTAGACATGGTTTTATACTTTTTATGGGATAATTCCAAAACAATATCTAATTATATACAGTTACATAGAATTCCAAAGACTGTTTGTTGTTTAGATATTATGTAAAATTGCATTCATTATTTTATTTGTGCTGTATCAAGGGTCATATATAGAGAATTATGATATGGTAGGTTAAGTTTATCAAAGTTGTACTTAATAAACTATGTACCATTATCAAAAAAGCACCATTTTTGAGGGTTCAGTTAGGTTCTGGAATAAAGAGGAGATTGATATGAGAAGAAGGTCAATTGTTTACCATAACTTGGTTTATATTATAGACAGGCATCCTAATTTAAGGATACAAGGAGGTACAACATAATTAGCTTACAATATTCTAGGCTTTTAATTGCCAGCATTACTTTGTACATATCAGAAGATCCAAGTTCTACTTATTAGGGTGTCTAAGACACTATCGTTACTACAGGCCAGTCCTTATTACATAGTTTCAGTACTCTATATACATATCTGATGTTTATAGGGAACATACGATGCCCAAAATGTTCCTTCTAAACATCCAAAAGCTTTTCAAACTTAGCAAACTACCTTATAATAGAGATTCATTAGTACTAATATTCTTTTAGCAAACGCTGCTTAGTATCTATATATTTTTAGCTGGTTTCATTCATAAATTTTTGAGGATGCTTTCAAATTACTCTTTGTTTTCAGAAATTTCTTTCTCAGCAGCTTCCTTAAACAGTGCTGTTCGGAGCTTCTTCCTAGGAACAGGATCTTCATCATCTGAATCCTGCATCTCATCAGCAGACATTGGCTCCTTATTCTTGACACTGCTTCGTGTGCGAGTAAGCTTGTTCCATGTAGGAAGTTCAGTGACTGAAGTTGGTGGCTTTGAAATTGTAAGTCCTTTATTTGGTTGCTGAATTGGAATATCAAAGCAATCTGTGTCAAATGCTTCAGAAGCTAGCCTGAATTCATGAAGCTGGGCTATTTCAGCAAGAACCTCATCGCTTGTTTCTGTATTGTCCTGACTATAATTAGCATTGCTATCTGGGCTAGAAGCAGCAATTGCTTTTCCATGAGCCTTAGTTGTGCTTGGTGAGATGTTGAAGTCTTTCTTGCTATAAGCCGCAGCCTCACTTATGAATGCCTGTTCTGTCCTGTGTGCCTTATCAGGTGTAAAGGGAGTCTGATCCTTGTTAAGATTAGCAGATGATGAACCTAGGACTTGAGTCTCTGGCTGTGTATCTTCTACCTCAATGGCTTTCAAAGTCCATAACAGAACACTATTCCTCGCTAACTCCAGAGTCGGAGTTACCTGAATGAAGAAAGGCTTTGTCGATAGTGTTTCTTGTACAACCTTGAATGTTTCCAAATTCCCCTACAATTGTGAAGTTGTCACATAAGATGCAAGCACAGCATAATGAATAGGTATACTGCCATATAGATTGTGTAAAAGTAAATGCTACTTTTTTAAGTGGTTTTTGTGTTGGTTGAATGTAAAAGGAGATAGGTAAATCAGCTAAGTTGTATACAATTTGAGCTGTAGCGTTTACCAAGGACCATGCAGTAAACATCATGACTAATCACAACTTATTTAAGACTGTTGTATCAGTTAATTTTGGGCAGATATATCATAAATAATTTCTTGAAAGTGGATCAATAGTTATTGAGAGCAGCACAGTTCAAGGATAGGAATAAGGTAAAAAAAAAAAAACTAACTTGCATCACTACTATTAGCAAAGTTTTATTATTACAACAGTTATAGTGTTTGGCAAACCATTTAGACTCGGCTGCATTATAGTAGTTCAGATAAGAATAGACAGAGTTCAAATAAACTTGCAAAGAGTGGAAGAGGATATCAGTGGTATTGATACTTACAGTGGTTTTCATGTTCCAGATTTCAGATGCTGTCATACGGAAAAGCTTTTCTGTATCATCACTAAAGGTTGTAAATGACATCATTCCACTGTCATCGACAGCCTCAAACTTGAAAGTAACTCTGCAAGAACACACATTATAATGAAATGGAGTTTTATAATACATTTATAATATCAAGCATAACATATGTATTGTTTTAGAATTATACTTGTGAGTTGCCACAGTATCTCCTTTTTTGCATGAAATGCAAGGAAAACGAGTTCCCAAAGCAAGATATGTTCGTTTCCCGCAGCCAAGATATCCAATGTATGCATTTACTCTCTGCAAATCAGCCTCTGGTATAGTCACTTTGATCCAAGCTGTTTCATCTGGAGTTGCATTAGATGCCTGCATAAATGTCGGTGACTGTATATCAGATGTTCTGTGACAACTATATATTCTGAAAATGTTATTTGCTGTGCAGAATTTTTGTTGATTTAGGGTAAGTGTAAAAAGAGAAAACCTTTTTGCTTCTCAATTCAGCTATTGTCACAATTTTTTTTTCGGTGCCTGGGTATCTCACATTAAGAATCCTTTCCTGTCTGTCTAGGAGCACATGCTGATAAAGCTTAACCCTGAAACAGGAAGTAAGCCTTAATAAGGTGTTTAATCTAACAACATTTAACTGTACAGTCATAATAAATCTAATATACTAATTACCATTCTCGAAGCATGTCTGCTCTTTCGCCTTTAGGATTCATAATAATCCTAGTAGACATAGTAGTGTTCAAAGTAAATCCTATAAACAAAAAGGAGATAGGTTAGATATTTAGTAACTGATGATAATTGTAATATCTAAACCAAAAGCATTAAGTTGACTCTTGTATGACGGGTTTTCAGTGCAGTGAATCCAATGACATTGAATTTCTCAGGCCAGTTACTCAATGCATTACAAGGTGCTCCAGTAAGATCGTTCCAAGCAGAGATTGTCATAAATCATACATTTTATAAGTGTAAGCTATCCAAGGCATTTGGCCGAGTAAAAAGTATAATATCAAATTGGTATGTCAAAGTATTTTGTTACCTTGTGTCAGTAACAGATATCTCTCGTACTGGACTATCGCGTCCACGAATGTTAGGTATCATCCTTGGTGCTTCTTCAACAAACAGGACCACACCAACTATATCTGTTTCATTTATAGAGTCGAATTTAGATAACGTGGGAAATAGTATAATCTTTCTGGTTAGTGTAAAAACTCTAGATTTCATTTTAGAGATGTAAAATAATCATTACCAAATCTGCCATTTGGATCAGGCGATCTTGGAATAGTTGACAAAGTTTGATATTTAGGCTCGATTGGACCACTTTCGGGATTCAGACGTTGGATAATAGTCTGCTGTCCAACGGTCATTTGGTAAGGAAGTTCTTCCAAGTTGAAGTTGGCTTTGTACTGATCATCGACAGCAGTTATAGGAGCCTTTGATATTTCATACTGACCAGATGGCTTAAGAACTTCTTCATATGCTTCAATCTGATCTCCAAAAAGAGCACATCGCATCTTGTTTTTCTGGGTACAGATTAAGGGTACTAAGTAATAGCAGGATAAAAGTGTATGAATATGCAGCTTTGTATACATTTAGCTATTAATTTGTGACAAAGTTTATAGAACTATTAAATAAACTGATTCTGTATAAGAATGTCAAATCAAGTTTATGTGACAAGCTTAATGGTAGGCAGTAAGATTAGAATGATTTGTATGATTAGTAGGATATATTTGTGCCATTGACTATAAGTAAATCATCATTATTCCTAAGGTTTATTTTTTGCTGATTATAAAAAAACATAAATTCTTACTCATCCATGTTACAATGAGGTTAATTCACTGTTTTTTTGTTATGTTGTAAACACAGTGGTCAGTATTGTTTTTTTCATGGAGAAGGAGAGCATACGTTTAGCTCAATCTATATTACAGACTTGATAGTAGTATATCATACCTTCTTCTTCTTTTTTTTTTTTTTTTTTTAAAGATTATCCATGTGCTTAAATATCTATATTGAAATCTTAACAATAACAAAACACAACATAACAGGATTTATGTTATCAATAAAGGTAAGTCAATATATTTTAATAGCTTGACAATAATCTGTTATAGTTTTTTTTTTCTAAAAGGTTATCTGTATTTATAAACAATAAAAGATAATAAACCTAAGCTACCACATTTTAACAGCATAGGAATAATCTATTATACCTAATTTTTTTTAAAAGATTATCTATATTTAACAACAACAAAAGATAGCCATAACAGGATGTTTATCTAACAGCAGAATCCATTTACTATAATGTAGCAACATATTTTATTTGTTTTTTTAGAGAAAGGTACAATAAATACATTTACCTTTTCATCCTCTAAGATTATCGTCTGAAATATCACACCAGGCTTCTTAGGCGAAGGTTGAGCTCTTCCTTTTTCAGTCACAGTAACCTTCACTTTGTAGTCCTTACTCTGAGTAGTAAGTTCGTCTAAGTAAACAGGTTCCAGCTTCATCTTCGGAGGTGTATTCATAGTCTGTAATACACACCATGCAAAATAGTAAGCTACTGTATTGAAGCAAGACATAGTATACAGTGTAAGTGTAGATCTAGCATGTATATAAACTCTTGTAAAAAGAAAGTGCAGAGCAAAAGCAGACAGTGATGTATTTTACATGGATATTCTAGAAATTCCTTTTGCCTTACATTTTTTTTTTGCGTGGGAAACATTTGATCATTAACCTAATGCATGCAGAATATACTAAAAGGGAAAAAAGCAGTAAAATAAATGCAGTAAGATGAGATATTCCAGAATCTAGTGTGAGAATGTGAGCTTAGAATGAGAAGCCAAAAACCTAAATATGAGTCAGAATATATAAAATAATGTAATTGCAAATATAAGTTATATCATAACAAAGAAACAAGAATTATATAAGTCAAAGGTTTGTTAAGAAGATTTTTTTTTTTTCATAGAAAATCAGGTAAGAATTCCATGGATAGTAACCACTCTTGATGCTAAGATAACAAAAAGAATTTCAGTGATGAGTACCTTTCAAGTCAAATCATAATCGAATGAAACGAAAGTGTGGAAAAGTCTAGTGTTGCGGAAAGTTTTAATTCTTTTCTCTTCTCTCTGTTTTTGAAAACTTTATTTTAAGAAAACAGCCAATCCAGTTTGGTTGGTCCATGATATGGGTCCAATAGTGGTGTAGTTGGATGGGGCTTGCAAAGACCTTTCCAACGATATATTATAAGCCCAATTCCGATGAATATTGAGGAAGTTATGGCCAATTTAGTAAACTGGGTCCGGTTTGAGCTTTAAGTACGGCCCAATGATCTAGGGGAGGGCCTAATATAATTTATCATTCCTAATGAAATTAGGAATGGTTTTGGTCTTCTAGAACATTCTAGAAGGTTTTATCATTCTTAATTCAATTAGGACTCTCCAGAGTTTTAATTAGATCAAATAGCATTTTCGACTGAATTTATATTATTTTATCTTCCAGTACGGGAATTTTATCAGAATTTCGAAAACGCGTTGAAATCCAATTTGGCGTCCAACCCCAGGCCTTGGCGCCTGGAATCAGGATTGGCGCCAGACGCCAGCCATTGGCGCCTGGCGCTAGCCACAGATCCTGGCGCCAATGAGCCAGGTCTGGCGCCAAGGTGGTTTTGTGATCTTCAGACTCTGTTTGGATAAATTATCTTTTTTGGATGATTTTCTCTATAAATATCGTATCAAAAACTCCGTTTTCATTCACGAATTCTCCTTATTCTTAAGTATTCATCATCTACATCTATCATTCACCAATTCTCTTTATTCTTAAGTTTTCACCATTTATCAATTGCCAATAATCAACTCTCTTCATTCACAAATCATTCATTAATTCTCTTCATCTACAAACAATTCATCTCTTTTCATCAATTTTCAATAACATTAATTCTTCATTCATTCTTTCCTTTCTTTGGTTTTAATACAAAATTCCGCATTCACAAGATCTAGAAACACCTAGCCATATTCGAAGTTGCCTTCGCCCTAGACGTGAAAGGTTTTAATTTCTGAGGGTTTGGTCCCAAATCTCTCTTTCAATTATTTAATTTAATTGTTTGTTTATTATTTTCCTTGAAGTTACTAACGTGTGTATTTTGTAATTAGAAAGAGGTACGAGGCATCCAAGTAAGTACTTTAATGGTTTGATTGATTTATGATGTAGAAATCATGTTTACATTGTTATGATATTCCTAGTATCATGTCTAAGGTATCTTTAATATTAAATATGATTCCTGCGATGCTTCCTATATTCTCCCTAATATTTATTATTATTATGATTATCATTGATTATTATTAATGATGTTGATTATTTATTATGTTGCTTGATATTTATTTTATTGCTTGATCACCTTTTATGCATGTTTAAAGGGAATTGGTATTTGCAATCACGCTTAATAAGATAATTTAATTATCTTGTTAGGTTAATTGTGATTATAAATTCAAGTGATCGCCAATAATAGATTTGTTTGTGCATTAATATTCAACCAACATAGATTAAACAAGTTTAGGGTTAATCCTATTGATTGTATGTTAGTCAGAAAGCGCACATGAATACGATCAGAATAAAGTAGAGGCCTATTATTAGGGCAGGTTCAATCTCTTTTAGGTTGGATTTGTACCATCATCCCCGAACCCTTATTTGGTTCATGACCTTATGGAGTTGACGATCTCTTGGATCGTTAAGGGGTGTAACCTTCATCCTATGAACGGTTTACAAGTTCCTTAAAAACTTGTTGGCGACTCTTTTGCTCTATCTTCTTCCCTTTTGGACGCCACCGTACTTTAGTGTATGATCACAGTGGGGTTCAAGCTAGTGTGATTTTTAAAGGCTTGAAATTATTCCCTACACTTATGTAATAAGCAAAAAGTAAGTTTTTATGGTTAATATAAAACTCAATTCTTGGTTAATGCAAAATATCAGTTTTTTTTGTGGCTTAAATAGAAGCAAAGTACAATTCACATATTTAATTAATAAGTTTACCATGAATAGTAGCATTGACTTGTACTTTGTTTCTCTTTTCTATGAAGTGAGTTGTACTCCAATTTAAACCTTAGTAGCTGTATATTTTCATGCAAGAGTTTTAACATTGCTGTTGTTAGTTTGGGCTGGGCTCAACAAAGCCATTCATATTTTATTTTAATGACAAACACAGCCCAAATTAAGCGCCAAAGAATACAGCCATTATTGTTAGGTGCTAAAATATACTATAGTATCTGTTGCATATTATTTGTAACTGCACGCATTACATGTTAGGCGGGCGCAAAATACACTACAAGTGCACCTAACGTATAATGTATATGGAAGCATAATTATATACCTAATAATATATGATCGACTGATATGCAAAACTTTATGTATTAGTTCTGGAAAGTCGATCATACTCTATTCTAGTCTATATTCTTTACTTATCGAGCTACTGAAGTGGTATGACATACACAAGTAAGAAAGTCTTACATTGACCTGCTGCACAGAACACGCTACATCCGAAGCCTCTATCACCCAATGCACTTGTTACTACAGGAATAAATAAAAGGAGAAGATCAGCACTGATGACCATAATATGAAAAACATTAATTTTGATCTTGAGATACTACTATATTGTGCAATTTTATAAGCACAAATAAGTATTCAAGAAAACAGATTTAAAACCATTGTCGTGCAAGAAAGTAAACTACCTTTTGAGGCTATGCTAATTGCATCAATAAACTGGTGAAAAGGGGATAGTCCCACGACATTTGTCTTCACACCTTGAACCACATTGGTAGCATCACATTCCATATGAACCTTTGAGTAGCCCATCCTCAGTGCGATTTGTACACCAAACCAGCAAGCAGTCGTTTCCGCCACAACAGCAGTCCACCCCGCAGCTTCAGCACATACCGCTGCCACCAAAATATTACCCAAATGGTCCCTGGAAACCACACCAAATCCCGTTACATTACCAATGTGGGCATCGCAATTAATTTTAATCACATCTTCTTGCGGGCAACTCCAAGATTTTATTGAAGCAAAAGACTGACATTGGATTGGTTTTGCGATCCTCACAGCATACTCCTCATAATCATGCACCATCTTCATAAACCCAAAGGCAAAGAAAACCGAGCTCACATGTGAATTCTCAAAGTTTTTCAGATTTCTCCCACGCTACGCAGCCCACGCCAAAAAAGAGAACTCCATTAGTTCAGTCTTAGAAACCTGTGATGCTACCCACATCCATCTATTAGCAAAAGAAGTGGCAGGGGCTTGAGATAACAAACTCACAAAATTGCTAGCTACCGAAATCTCCCTAGCAATACCACATTCAAAAATGGCATGAATGGTAGTTTCACACCCCTGATTACAAATTGAGCAGGAGCTATCAGGGAGTATATGACGGAACATAAGCCTTTCTTTAACAGCAAGGAAATTCTTACACGCACGCCAAATAAAGTGCCTGAGTTTGGGAGGTCCCGACAGCTTTCAAATCTTCTTCCAAACCTCCGAATCACCCTGGGAAAGCAGAGGCAGAGGGCTATTTTAACCCAACCAATAGCTTGACTTGACACTTTAGACACCACTCTTATCAGGCCACCAGTACATACCATCTTTCTGCTTACTTGGAGGAAGAGCGATTGAGAAAATTAAAGCTTGATCAGATGCAGTAAAAGTATTTCTTATAACTTATTTAATTGTATGACCATCTAATATCCCTATAATTTAGTAATCATGATGACATGATTAATAAATTGTCAATTTCCTGCTTCTATAAGAACTAAAAAGTGTAGACAAAACATACAATCAATACAAGAACGAAATCACCATATGATTAACGGAGGTAGTATATGATTAATAGTTAACGGAGGTAGTATATGATTAATTTATTAGAAAGATAAGTATTGTTAAACATTTAAAAGACATGTAATTTCTAGACAATTTGACATAGCATAATTAATTATGATTGTATTAGGGGAAAAGAAGAATCAAATCAGAGAGCTGACTTTTATCAAGTTTATTAATACAGTAATTTTTTAAGACAAAATATTATTCTTTTAAGACATTTTTATGATTTAATTGCTCCTTTTAATACAAAGAAGTTATGAATATAAGGTTTGAATCATGAAAGAATGTATGCTTGTTGCTAGTGGGATCAACAATTCAACATACTTTCGGCAAATAAATCATCTTAATTAAATTATTATTCCTGATGCACTTACTTGCTGAATTCTGTGTAATTATTTAATGTGATCAAATTTACTGCTGTAGTTAGTGATCAGCTTCCTGATTTCAACTCTCTTCTTCTTCTGAACATTTCCTGGCCAAGCCCATTCTTCCTCCCTCTTCTGCTTTTTGAAAACCAACTTCGGTACAGCAACTTTAGTAGCCTCCTCACCCATTTCTGCTTAACAAAAGTACCAATCAATCAACCATTAAAACAAAAACAAATTACTCAGATCATATAGCCTATAATTAAGCATCCGAAAACACTAAAACCAAATCAGCTCCTCCATTTCATATTAGTTGCAGATTACACATCCCAAAAGTACCAATCAAAGAATGTGAGGCTTCAACATAAAATAGAAAGTAATAAGGTGAATGATAAGGGAAAAGAAAAACCCAACGAACTTCATTGGGCTATGCAGTGTACACTCACCCAAAGCTGAAGATTATTTCAGGCAATAATGCAGGTTCTGGAAAACATTCATTGCAATATGATGCACAGATTAATGAGGTGGTTGAAAGGATAAGCACTTAAGATAGAGTCAATGTCTGTATTTATCCATTGAGATATAAAAATTTTACTTTACTGTACCTGTAAAGCTCTACTAACAGCAGAGTGCATCCATTTATCATCTGTCTTCAACAAGGCAACATATTAGGCACACTGTTCTGTATAACTTTGAGTAACTATTCCTGTCATTGAGCACATGAGCAGGCAAATGCAAAGGTAGAAAGATAATCCAAATAGGCTTAAAACCAAATTAATTATAATGCAAAGAATCCACAATATGGTTAGTGTGATGAATCAAGAAGAGAAATAACACAACCAATTACATATTTGATTCAGAAAGCACATTCTAAGGTGCAGTAAATAGCATTCTGGTCGTACACAAAACAGTAAGTGTAAACACAAATTTTAAATCTGCGAAATATAGATTCAAAATAAATGAAACAAAGTGTTAATTTTATTAATATGATAATATTGGGTACAATCTCTAATTTGCTCCTCTGATTCGATCTCCACTTTGACTTTGACGTAATACAAAGATTGACTTGATTCTTGAACGAGGACCGTCAAGGCTTGTTCTCGATCAAAGATTTGATGCAAAACTTTGACTTATGTTGATGTAGACCTTTGACTTGTTGTTGATGTAGACTTTTGACTTCCTTGATGATTTGAATTCGTTTTTTCCTTCGTGTTGAAGCTTGATGTTCTTCTTCTAGGCTTTGAGATGTTTTCTCTAAAATGGAGGTTTTGAATATTTAAGAGAGGCTTTCTCTATATTTTGTATCTACTTATTTTCCTCTCTAGGTTTCCTCTGAATTTTTCCTCCTCCCCTTGTTTGGTTTTTTTTTTTCCCCAAATGAACTAAAGAGAGTTCTATTTATAGAGTAAGGGACTCTCAGGATTAGGGTTTGACATATATTAAAAATTGGGCTTGACAATAACCCATTTATGATGGTCTAGCTTATATATTGGGTTTTATAATTTAATTAAATAAAATGGGCTATTTTAATATATTTCACCCAAAATAATTAATTTTAAATAAATAGTCAAACCATCAAGTCAACAAATTGACTTTTGACCCATATAATATCCGATGTGGCACTTATATAAATATTTCGTGCCTACAGTAAGCTAAGGCATAAATCATAACCCAAACAGCATCAATAGTGTAAAAGACGAGCAGTGAATACGCTACTAAGCAACTAACAGAACCAGCAAACAAAATAATACAATTCTTTTGTGTGTGCGCTTTTTTTTTCCCTTTATCTTTTTCTTGATTCATCAGATAATTCAGGCATATATTCTGCAAAGCCCATGCTTTGATCACCTAAATTCTCATGATCCCTAGATTAAATACTTTTGGGTTATATCAACCCGAGGAACTACCATGCCGTCGTCTACATATGAAAGCTGAGTACCTGCAATAAAGTATTGTAATAGAAAAAAATAAATTAAATGTGCATGTATTAGACTTAAATTACGAGTCAAGAATCCACTTACTATCCTTGATTATTTCAGGAAATGGCATTTCTCATGAATTCAGAGGTTGCTTTGCACCTATAGATATTATCAATTTGAGACTCATGGTGCTGTACACATAGTGAAAATCAGTTAGTCTTACATTCAGCATTGAAGGATAGATATAATTCAAAGTGTTTGGATCCAATTTAGTCCAATTGGGCCTAGGCATTAAATGATCCAATTAAAAGCCCAAGGTCAAGGTTCATCTCTCCAATTGTGCTAAAGTCAAAGATAAGTCATCAAGGCAAGCCAATTGGGCTAAGGCCCAACTTCTCCATATATGCAAAGGTATAAAAGCCATCAATATTACATTTGTACATTTATTCAAGCAAAGCCTCAAGCAATTAATTCTCTTGCATAGTGTTCTCTTTCTTCACACTGTACTGACTTTAGCATCGGAGGGGCCTTCCTCGACAACACCCCCGAGGCTAGTTTACGTGTGTTTACTGTGCAGGAAACCTTCGGCCCAACATCACTTGGACCGAATCCAGTCTTCTCCACTTCATCGGACCTTCGACAAGGTCCTATTGTTTTCACCCGAAACAATTTGGCGCCGTCTGTGGGGAAGACTTTCAAAAATCTTTAAGCCAAATTTCTAACCAAGATCATCTTGCAATTATCTTAGTAGCAATGGCTAAGAACCGCAAGAGCAAAGGCCTCCGTCAAGTAGCAGGCGAAAAGCCTAAAACCCCTACACCATCACCCTCGCCGGACCGGAACTCTCCCAAGGGTGCCAGCTCGGGGGGAGGATCATACAGGGAGGATTCCCTTTCTCCCGTAATTCATAACTCTCATCATAGGCCGAGTCACTCTCGGTCTAGCAGGGGTGAGTCCGATCATAGGACACATTCAGTGCCCCAAAGCCAACCATCGACTGTGCGCTCTCATTCCCATACTCGGCCGAGGACCCCTTTGACGGGGCCCAGCTCGAAGGAGGTGGCAAGAGCGCTGGCAGTGCTCATGGAGGCAATGAGGGCACAAAATATGCCACCACCTCGTGATCGAACTCCTCCGCATACCCGGCATCAACGGAGGAAGCTAGACCATGATGGTGGGAAGCTTCCTTCCTTCCGGGAACTGGAAGAGTGGGAAGAGGATACCTGGAAAACTGAAAAAGAGAGGAAAAAGAACCCTCAATTTTTCAAAGGATCCTCAACCTCCCGACCAGAAACGCATAAGAGCAGCAGCTCAGCTTCTCTCCCAGAATCTACTTAGCGAGAACAACCTGAGACTATTCGCCGAAGCGTCCTCGACCGACTCGGCGGCAAGGAACCGAGCGTGCACAGTCGCCTCTCGTTCCCTGCGGCCGAGGCCCAGACTTCCCAGCCAGGGACGAAAACCACTCCTACCTCTCTAAGAGGGCGGAGCGCGGTCCCTTCGGCCAGGAACAAGGGCAAGGCCGTTATGCTACCCGCCAGTTCGCATTCGAGCAATGGATACTGGAAGAGCACGTGCCCACGGTTAAAGTACCGTCGCACATCACATATGACGGGACCTCGGATCCGAAGGACCACGTGGCCTCGTATGAGACTCATATGCATCTTTGCCCCAGATCCGAAGCGACTTGGTGCAAATATTTCCCAACCACTCTCAAGGGGGTCGCGCAAGCGTGGATCTCCAAGGGAGTAAAGCAAGGCTCCATAGCAGGGTGGGATGATCTGTCCTCCAAATTTAGGAGCAAGTTTTCCACAGCAAACCGCCGAGAGAAGACTACTGCAGAACTCATGAGTCTGCAACAGGGGGAAACCGAAAGCCTCCGAGACTATCTGACCCGTTTCAGTAACGAGTCATCCAGCGTCTCTCAGCTGGACCAGGGGCTAGCCGTTTTTGCAATGCAGAATGGCCTTCAGCCCGGGAAATTCCTAGACTTCATGGTCATGCATACCCCGCAGACCTTGGAGGAAGCTCTGAATGCCTCGAATAAGTTCATCCGAGCCGAAGAATGGAACAAGGCGAAAACCCAACCTCAATTCGGGGGAGGGAAACAAAAACAAATACCCTTGTCTGAAGGCCAAGGCCATAAGGCAAAGGGAAAGTCAAAGGCCTCGGAGCAATCTTCGGCCAGCGACCCAAAGAAGGAAAAATCTGCCTCATACACAGGCAGATACGAGTCCTACACTCCGCTCTCTCTTCCACGCGCCAAAATTTACAGCGTGACGAAGGAGGAGCAGAGTTACCGAAAGCCGAGACCACTCCCAGAGTGGTATCAGCGAAAAAATAAAAATCAGTGGTGCGAGTTCCACGAATCTCCGGGACACAACACTGAGGAGTGTATCCAACTGAAGGACCAGATAGAGGACATGGTCCGGAAGGGATACTTGAAAAAATACATCGCGGATCACCGCGAGAAAAAAGAGTCTGAGAAGTCAGCAAAGGACTCTCGGCAAGACATCGACTTCCCCCGGAAGAACAGTAAAAAGCCAGAGGGGAAATTTTCTCCGATCAATGTTATCTCGGGAGGAATATGCTCTCGGAGGGAGCACAAGCGACACCTTTGGGCTTTGACTCACCAGGTGAACAACGCTGACATTCAGTCTCCCCAATCTCCGGTGCCGAACACGACGTTCACAGCCGCCGACTGCCGGGGGGTAACGTTCCCTCACGAGGATCCGTTGGTGATCATCGCCACGGTGGCCAACCACGACGTCAGTAAGGTCCTTGTTGACGGTGGCAGCGGAGCAAACATTCTGTTCCGAAAGGCCTACAATCAAATCAAGCTGAAGCCCAAGCACCTTACGCCGGTACCCTACCCGGTATCCGGGTTCAACGGGGCTTCAACTTATCCAGATGGGAAGGTGACACTTCCTATCACCATCGGCTGCGATGAGGCAGCCAGGAACGTCATGATTGAATTTTTGGTCATTGACGCTCCTTCAGTGTACAACGTGATTTTGGGGAGACCCATAATTCATGAGATCCAAGGGGTCGTCTCAACTTATCATCAGCTGATGATTTACGTCTCAGACGCTGGCTTCCCCGAAAGGATACAGGGCAACCAAAAGGACGCCCGAAGGTGCAACTACCTCAAGCCATCCAGTAGTCGCCCAGATGACGACAAGGATGAGGAGGAGAAAGAAAAAGAAAGAGAGCCAAGCACAAAAAAGCCGAAAGGCCTAAGTGCTTCGGCCCAAGGATCTGTACCCAGAGGT